CAGACATTACCAGACTATGTCTGTCCTTCTGTACAAGTCAACGAGGTGCTCCTGATCCCAGCCAAAGTCTCATGTTATCATAATAGTATAATTATAATATTGTGTTTTGCAGACATTACCAGACTATGTCTGTCCTTCTGTACAAGTCAACGAGGTGCTCCTGATCCCAGCCAAAGTCTCATGTTATCATAATAGTATAATTATAATATTGTGTTTTGCAGACATTACCAGACTATGTCTGTCCTTCTGTACAAGTCAACGAGGTGCTCCTGATCCCAGCCAAAGTCTCATGTTATCATAATAGTATAATTATAATATTGTGTTTTGCAGACATTACCAGACTATGTCTGTCCTTCTGTACAAGTCAACGAGGTGCTCCTGATCCCAGCCAAAGTCTCATGTTATCATAATAGTATAATTATAATATTGTGTTTTGCAGACATTACCAGACTATGTCTGTCCTTCTGTACAAGTCAACGAGGTGCTCCTGATCCCAGCCAAAGTCTCATGTTATCATAATAGTATAATTATAATATTGTGTTTTGCAGACATTACCAGACTATGTCTGTCCTTCTGTACAAGTCAACGAGGTGCTCCTGATCCCAGCCAAAGTCTCATGTTATCATAATAGTATAATTATAATATTGTGTTTTGCAGACATTACCAGACTATGTCTGTCCTTCTGTACAAGTCAACGAGGTGCTCCTGATCCCAGCCAAAGTCTCATGTTATCATAATAGTATAATTATAATATTGTGTTTTGCAGACATTACCAGACTATGTCTGTCCTTCTGTACAAGTCAACGAGGTGCTCCTGATCCCAGCCAAAGTCTCATGTTATCATAATAGTATAATTATAATATTGTGTTTTGCAGACATTACCAGACTATGTCTGTCCTTCTGTACAAGTCAACGAGGTGCTCCTGATCCCAGCCAAAGTCTCATGTTATCATAATAGTATAATTATAATATTGTGTTTTGCAGACATTACCAGACTATGTCTGTCCCTCTGTACAAGTCAATGAGATGATCCTGATCCCAGCCAAAGTCTCATGTTATTATAATAGTATAATTATAATATTGTGTTTTGCAGACATTACCAGACTATGTCTGTCCCTCTGTACAAGTCAATGAGGTGCTCCTGATCCCAGCCAAAGCTGTAGACATTCCCAAGTCTCAGAGTATTGGTCATGTGACCATCCACCCCCCGCAGTCCCACCATGGCCCTGGTCCCGTCCAGGTGCGGCTGATATCACAGGTGTACAGGGAGGGACAGGTGAGACCTCTGGAATAGAATAGAAAGGAAGAGTTTTTAAGAACTTTTTACGCTTTCTTTGTTTTCTTTGAATAATATGCTTTCTGTTTTATACAAGATCTTTACTGTAAGCAGTCACGTAGGGCATATTTTCACAACAGTTTTGAAATATTTCATTGTAAATAAGTTGAACAGACTGTGTATTGTTATTTTTAAGATACATTTAATAGTTGATTTTAATCTTGACAGACAGTGCTTGCAGTTAGTACCTAAAATATCTGGCACATTTTGTGATTTTTCCTTAATTTTGACATTTCTTGCCAAGAATTATTGCATATTATTATCTATCTGCCCCCAGGAGTTGCTGTTGCCTTACCTCAAGGACCAAAAAGGAGGAAAATTTGTAAACAACAGAAAAGTCCAGCCCAAGTCCCCGTATCTCCTCATACAGTGTCATGGAGGAGGGTTCGTAGCTCAGAGCTCAAAATCTCATGAAGTAAGTGATTTATGATGAGGAATTAGTTTTGGATTTAGCTAGTAAACAAGTAAACATTGTGCTATATTTCAGACTTACCTCAGAGAGTGGGCCTGTGACCTGAAGGTGCCCCTGGTTGCCATGACTACTCCTTATAGTACAAGTTGATATTGTATCATATTTCAGACTTACCTCAGACAGTGAGTGGGCCTGTGACCTGAAAGTGCCTCTGGTTGCTATGACTACTCCTTATTATTATAATAGTACAAGTAAACATTGTATTATATTTCAGACTTACCTCAGAGAGTGGGCCTGTGACCTGAAGGTGCCCCTGGTTGCCATGACTACTCCTTATAGTACAAGTTGATATTGTATCATATTTCAGACTTACCTCAGAGAGTGGGCCTGTGATCTGAAGGTGCCCCTGGTTGCCATTGACTATTCCCTCGCCCCCGACAGCCCCTACCCCCGTGCCATAGAGGAGTGCTTCTTTGCCTACGCATGGATACTGCAGAATTGTCATGTACTGGGTAAGGTGTTTTGAAAATTTGTGTTTTGAAGCAAACATTTTTCAGTGTAAGAGATGGTTATGCCCTTATTATTACATCAAACAGAATAGCTATACAGTTTGCATGAGCACACTTTGAGAGTCCCTAACATGTTATTGTGCTACATCGTATTTGACTGTTTGGGCAGAAGTTGATTTATTATATATTTTTATTTCTTGTGTAATACCAAGCTATTAAGCTATACATAGTAGTATGCCACTCCATGTGAAAAGGGCCTTACAAATTGTTATCATCTATAATTAATTGGCACGATTTTAAAATCCAATCCTTTTTTATTACTTAAGTCAAACAATGATCAAAATAAGTATAGCATTTAAAGGGAAATTCTTGAAAACAATTAATTTGATCACCCTAGGTTCTACAGGGGAGAAGATCTGTCTGGTAGGGGACAGTGCAGGAGGTAACCTTATTCTCTCTACAGCTCTCCGGGCTGGGGAGATTGGAATACGTGTTCCAGACGGCCTGGTTGGAGCATACGGCTGTTTTATGGTCAGATACTCGCCTTCTCCCTCTAGAATACTCAGTATCATGGATCCTCTTATTCCTGTGGGGATGCTGACCAGGGTGCTAGGAGGTAGCATCATAACATTTTCACCAGTTTCCTTTTGTTAGATAATTTATATTAATTGATCTGTTTCCTACACTACAGATGAAAATTTTATGCTGTGATACTATAAAAGCTGAATCAAAACAAAAAAAATATGTTAAAGGTAGCAGGCCTGTAGCCAGCAATTTCAAAGGGGAGGTTCTTTTTCTGAAAAAGTGGACCTTTTACCATATAATCCCCATGTACCTAGGTCAAATTTTACCCAGAGTGGACCTTTTTTCAGCAAAAAGGGGGGTTCTTTCGAACCTCCCGAACCCCCCTGGCTACGGGCCTGGGTAGAGTAATATACACCTTTGTGAGTTCTATCCAAACTGAAAAGAAGTTTATTAGCACCAATGTCACAATTGTTTATCTTTAGCAATGGTATTGGTATTTTCAGCTTATGTAGGTGTAACTGAAGAAGAAATTCTAGCTTCTCAGAAAAGTGCCTCTGATCTGCTGAAAAAATCCAAAGATGAGCGGGAATCAGAGCCTGCTAAAGAGCTCCTACTTCAGTCCCAAGACGAGCCACAATCACAGTCTTGCAGTAAATCTCTACATGGCACAGAAAAGGATTCATCCAACAAAGGTGCACAAATCAGAATAGAAAGCAAAAATCAAATAGCAGACAATGGAAAAATAGCTCTTCACCGTTTGTGTGGTCCAACCATGGTGGATGTAGACAAAAAATCAGGACAGGAAGATTTGGGTGCCCCTCATTTGACAGGTGCACCAGATCTGACCTCGGAGAAACTTAAAGTGCACACATCATGTAAGATTGACTCTCCCCACAGGAAGAGACTTCTTTCTGAGGTGGTGGAAAATGAAGAACAAGAGGAAATGACACCAGAACTTACTTTAACAGAGGATGAAATGGCCAGTGATTTGAAAACAAAAAGAAGGAATGAAAAAAAGATGTTTGACATTGATTTAGGCGATCTTAAAATTGAAGATGTAAAAACATCAGAAAATGTGAGCCCATTTGTCAGAAAAACTTCTTTGGATAGTTCAGGTGACCCTGTTGACTTTTATTCCTGCAGTTCAGGATCTGATTTTAGTGTGGGGAGTCCCTCGTCAAATCCAAGGACTACATCCCATAATACTCCATCAATCCCAGGGGTCCATGTGACGGGGCAGTCTGCTCCAACAAGTGGCAAAAGTGAAGGACTTGGGGACTTGAAGGTCACTTTTTCAAAGGCAAAAAATACAGTTACTCTCCCCCCAAAATCTTTACCTACCCCACTAAAGAAGATTTTTCACACACGGAGTCCATCTTCACCCAACTTACACAGTGTTATGTATGGACAGGAGAAGTACAAGCAGCAGGCTGTTGTAGGTGAGTGGAATGTGCCAAGTTATTGTGATGTTAATAATATAATAAGCAGAAATGTATGTGTGTGAAGGCATTACAGGGCACCTTGTGGAGAGAGAGAGAGAGAGAGAGAGAGAGAGAGAGAGAGAGAGAGAGAGAGAGGCTTCTTTTCTTTTAATGACATTGTCTTATCTAGCATGTGTTATTGATAGCTATTCCTCCACTCTATGAGCAGTAAGATATTGGGATTTTAATACACACCTGTAGCAATACTGTTAGTATTAACCATATTTACAGGGGTAACCATATTTACATATGCCATATTTACAGGGGTGCCCCCGAGGACAGGTGACTGGGTCCCCCTGTATATTATCATTATTAACACACCTGCCATATTTACAGGGGTGTCCCCGAGGACAGGTGACTGGGTCCCCCTGTATGCTTTGGAGTGTACACCTGAGGAGAGTCCACTGTTAAAGTTCCACCATATTGAGCTGCCCAAGGACCCGTACATGTCCCCTCTCCTGGCCACGGACCACATGCTCAGGAATCTGCCTCCTGTCTTCTTAGTGGTAAGAATGGCTGCATAATGTTATATATATGGATAGATATATTCAGGTTAAATTTTATATGAACATTCATGCTTCAGTGTCATCTAAGGCTCTGTTCCCATAGATTTTAGATCGATCTATCCCCGCGGGGAGTCTCACTAGATTACTTTCAGATAATCCGACTTAAATGTCCGTCCCGCCTACTACAAGCTGTAAGGGGGTAATTAACTTTCGTGTCCGCCCGGCTGACAGCTATTTAGCGTGAACCCCCAGGGAGTTAGGTCGATCTAAAGTAGATCGATCTAATCTATGGAAATGGGGTGTAATATAAATTTTTCTGTATATTAATGTGTATCGTTTCCCAGCTTGTGTAGATGCCATATTAATCTGTGAGACTGTTTCAATACCACTGATGTTACCTCCTCTGTTTATTATTAATCCCAGCTTGTACAGATG